AAAAAAAGTTGTGCTTCAGGCTTTCAGCCAATAGGGTGCCGCCACGATCCAAATTGAATTTCTTGGTTGTAACGGCTCTCTACGTGCATGCCCTCTCCTCTCCGTGAAACACGGATCCTCGGGCCCCAAAGGACCTCGCGAGGTCCTTTGGAGCCGAGGACGATTTGGCTGGGAAATCCTCGAAGCCCAAGGATTTGTGCTCGGAGTGTTTTCACATTTTCATTTCCGATTTCATCTCCGAGGACAGGTGGAACGAAGACGAAATCCTTGGAATCACGTCCCCGAGGAGTGTCGAACGACGCCCAAAGTTGGGGTACTTGGAATTTCACACAAGGGGTCTCGTTGCACTACTCTCCACTCTCCAAAAAATAGGAGAGTTCGCGGAGAGCTGAATAGCTCTCCGAAGTTGTGATTCTTGGTTCACCGCTGCACAAGTTGGTCCACTCTCCGAACTCCAATTTCATGAGTGCACTAGCAGACAGACAAGGTGACAGCGCTGGAGGACCTGGCGTGATTTCCACTTTCTCCACCCATACTCCATGCACACTCTCTGAATTAGGAGCATTTTGGACTCCAGGCACACTCTCCGAATTTGGAGCATTTTGGAGTTATTAAACACCCACGGATGCGTCCAGGGGGTCGAGCTCAGAGGGCGGCCGTATTCATGTCCACGGCCGCAGAGGCCACTTTTCTTTTCACTTTTAAAGTTGAGCTTCGTTGGAGGGGTTTTCCCGACGTTGTGTTTGATAAGGCCCTCACCAATTTTAACATAAAAATTGGGGGGGCCTGGACAGAATGGGTACAGTGTTTTACAAATTGGGTGCTATGATTCTCAGTACTGGGTCTGGGACCGCCCCCCGTTTTTCGGGGCCAGTGGGTGCTTGTTTTCAATTTCGAGAATAGTCGGACCTAGGTAGGGTAGAGTCCAGGTTTGTCGGTACTATATAGGTATCTTTCTATTCNGGGCCAGTGGGTGCTTGTTTTCAATTTCGAGAATAGTCGGACCTAGGTAGGGTAGAGTCCAGGTTTGTCGGTACTATATAGGTATCTTTCTATTCTGTTTTCGTAGCAACCAGCGCAACCCCTAAGGATGGCCGGTATACCGGACCGGCCGAAACACGTGTAGGGTTATCGCCAGTCGGGTCTTCATGCTATGGCGCTCGCGCCTATCTATGTTTAATTAGCTTTCCTTGAATATTTTACGAGCTGACGCGCTCGGGGGAACTTCTTCTCTTTTTCTTCTCCTTCTTCTTCTTCTTTTTCTTCTTCTTCTTCTTCCTCCCTGTCTATGGATTGGCCTTCATGTGTTACACATGGCTGATGTTGCATGAGTTTTATCTCTATTGCGACATGCACGTAGCAAACCGGCGGAGGATTTTACTCTGACCGTGTGACTACGATCCCCAATCACATACCACAATTACCTTTCCGTTCACTTATTCTACTTTGCCTTTCCAAGCTACTGTAGTCGTCTATCTTGTCTATATTACTCTAGTCTATCATCACTTCAACCTTTGTTCTTAGCACTTGGTCCAGAATAGGGCTACTGCCCGGAAGTACGCGGAGTGGGACACGGTAGTCCCAAGGATCAATATGGCCTATCGTTGTCACTTTTGTCAACTACCAGGGCACTTTATTCGAGAATGCCCGTTCAAGCTTCAGCCTAATGGCGCGGAGATGGCCGCCAGGATTCGCGACGGTGGATTAGGGACTTCAAACCGGAATGAGCCAAACGGGATTCTGCAAGCGTTAGCACAAGGGACTAGCACATCTAATGCTATTGTTCCATATCAGGCGCCACAGGACAGAAGTTTTGGCGGCAACAACGGGAGCTACAATCGAGGTGGGAACTTTAATTATTGTGGAGGTTACAGCGATGGGCAACGTTACTCGAGACCTTGGTCGGGAGGCTACAGAGATCGGGAACGGGATAACAAGTTGGATGGGATGTACGGGTTACTATCCGAGCAAATGGAGGAACGGGAACAAAAAAAGAAGGAGTCTGCCCAACTTAAGTTGTTAGCGGAGGAAAAGAAGAGGCTGCAAGCCGAAGAAGAAAAGAAGCAACAGGCAATCAAGGAACGAGAGCAGCAGGAGGGGAAGTTGGGAAAGATCGTTCGAACAAGTGTGCAGGCAGTATGTGAGGCTGCCTTGGGTAGGAAGGTACACATACCGGAGGATGAGGATTACGAGATCAGCAGATTAGGGAAGGAGCTAGAAGATCTACGGACGAAATCATCGGAAGCATCGAGCAGCTCTAGAGAAGATGACTCGAGGCTGGAGGCTTTACGTAAGGAGAAAGAAGCTCTGCTCAAGATGAGAAATCAGGAGACAGAGGAAGAACGTTTGCGGAAGGAGATTGCGCAACTAAGGAGTCGTAATGGTCCTGATAAACCGAACAATTTGAAGGAGGATGAAATCCTGGCACTGCAGCTGCAGAATAAGGAGTCAAACGCTTTTCGTACGGTGCTGGAAGGCAAGAACGCTGAGGCCTCTGCACTACAATCCGAGAACAAACATCTCAAGAAAGACTTCTCCGAATTGCGTGATGAGGTCTTGGCACTCCGAGGGAAGAGGGATGCGGGCGCAGTCACTGAGAAGAGCCCGCTTGATGAACCAGCAAGGGGGAAGCCGCGTGCGGGGCCGTCCTCTACGGCGATGTACACCCCGAAGGACCTTGGAGACCTCCAGAAAGCCTACAAGGAATCTCTAGCTGGTAAGGAGATGGCATTGAAGGAAGCGCAGATGTTGAAGGAGCGGATGCCACACAAGCACTTGATATTGGAAGGCACTAGCGAGGGTCTGGACTGGCCTCCTACACGAAAATTTTAAAAGATTCTGATGGTACATTTTTTCAGGCCTACTACACGAACAAAATTTTATGTGAAGTAAATTAACCGCAAAAAAGGAATAGGAAAGTACTTTTTCTGAACCACTGGAAGTGATGAGGAGAGAAGCAAGCTTTTTTACAAAAAATCACTACCTTGCAAAGCACCGTTTGTTCAGGCACCGAATTATCCCTTGAAAAAATCATATTTATAGTTCTATAAGGTATGTAGCACGACGAACCTATTCGGGGGTCTCCCAAACATGCACACATGCTCTCCTGTTCATGAATACATTTGCTTGGATATGTTCTCTCATACATGGACAAATATATTATTTTTTAGTGTTTTTTATTAAATAATTTTTCATTTTTTAATTTTAAAGTATGGTTGGCTAAGAATTTGAAGATGTCTCTCTGGCAAAAGTTGTTTGAATTCTTGTTTTACATAACATATATTTTTTGACAAGGGTTTTACAGTTATCTTAAAAATGGAGTTATATTAATTTATAGTTCTATAAACTCGATTTCCCAGAATCTGGTTTTTACCAAACTCCAGAGAACGACTTTTAGTTCTATAAATGAGTATTTACTGAAACTGTTTTTTTTGTAACATCTTTTGAGTTCGCCTTTAAGACCTTCAAGATTGTCTTGTTTGAACTATGTTTTTTGTCAATCTACTAAGAACGACTTATAGTCCTATAACGTGCTCTTTGCTGGAAAAGATTTTCTTGCACATTTTGAGAACCGTTGGACTTTCTGCTAGTTTTTTTGCCTCCTTTCTCGGGAAACAGTTAAAAACGCTCTCTTCTATGTGTCAAAAATAAAAGTTTGACTTTCAGTTTTTCATTCTATAAAAAATTTTAGGTTTTCTGTTTTTTTTAGGTTTTCACGAATACTGTGCATTGGCAAAGACAGGGGCTTCCAAGATTCAGGCCGCGGCCAGAAAAACAACTCCGAAAAGATCGACACCGCGAAATATGAGGAAGTCCTTCCATGAGGTAGTGGTAGAAGATGTACCGGATGACGATGAGGTAGGAAAGGATCAGACGAAGGAAGACGGAGGACCGAGCAATATAGTGGATATCGCCCATGAGCTCGAGGTCGTCCAGATGACTAAGTTTCGAGAGAAGAGGCTGAAGGAGTTACGACAGGTTAAGAAGCAGGAAATGGAGGATATCTGCTCCGAGGAAGGCATCACGTATGTGAAGCTTGATCAAGCGAAAGCGGATGTCGCGGAAATCCGAGCAAGGAGGGACTATGCAGCTTGGCTGAAGGAGAAAGATGTCGTTGACGATGACGAAGATCGCGAGCTTCACTACTATACCTCGGCTGAGGATGTTGACGACGCTTGAGGGCACTCCCTGGGTGCGTCACAATTACAGGAGTTGGCTTTATTTTATCGTGATTATTACAAGGATTTGGTGAGTGTACAGTTTCAATATGCTTACAGATTAATTATTATATTACTGATTCTGTCAGGGAATTTGAGTTGGTTAGGTAGGTTTCGTGATCTTCTTTCTTCTTTGATTAAGCGAGATTATGACTTTTTTCTCTGTCCAGGTCCTGTCGTCTATGCACTCATCTCACCATGGTTTTGTCATATATACATAGGTAGTACTACAAGATCTCTTACGGTTAGATGGAAGGAGCATGTTGCTTGTACAAAGTCATTTCTCCGAGAAGAAATCGGAAGTTATACAGATGGTTACGTAGAGTGAGGGTTAATAGTTATGTTGCCATCTCTATTTTTGTCGGTACTAACCAAAATATTCTGGGTTTGGAAAAATTATTTATCAATTCCTTCTCTCCCGCCCTAAACTCTACTAATTATACTCGACAATCTCGGAAACCATCGCGTCCAGGAAAGAATGAGAGGTTAAGGCGGAAAAAACGATTAGGCCAGGACGCGCCTGTTAGTAACTCGACCTCTCGCTTTAATCCATTTGTCTTCACTTCATCATTTTGGTTTTACTTCCTCTTGTTTGACTTCCATCCTCCAGCAAGCTTTAGATCGTAAAATCGAAACACCTTTCTCAATTCGTGTGCAATCTGGTGATTCCTTTTCTGAAAAGTGGAAATTGATTCGACGTCTATTTGAATCTTCTATTGCTTCCGTCACTGGTCTCCCTATTTCCCTTCTTAAGAAGTGTCGGGCATGGTTTAAATAGGTTCTACTATTCATTTTCACTCGGTGTCACGATTCTGCTCCCGTGCCTTACCACTCAAGAATGTTTTGATACGCCTTTTCTGTTTTCCATCCTCGATGAAGGATCTGAACCATTTTGATCTAGATAGGTTCATTAGGTTGTATGAAGCTACTCGAGCCATTTCTTGCAAACGATCACGTACGAGCCTTAGACTCATTCTGTCTTCATCTTGTGGAAGGTTTTTCTCACTCGGTCTTTCAGCTTGTTTGGTTGTCAAAGTCTGATATGATGACAAACTTGTCAAGGACGGTATTCGTGAAGTCTGTAAAAAAATTATCGAAGGTTTGGATTATCCTGCATCATATCTGGATTTGGTTTGCCGCCGTTTTAGGTTGGTGTTTACAAGAAATCAGTCGGTAGGGGATTTAGTTCATAATTTTCGTAGTTTTTCTGCTAGTTCGAATTCTATCTGCTTCTGCGCCGAAGCAAACGCTATCTTTAAAGATTATGATGGCACACAAGCACTTGATATTGGAAGGCACTAGCGAGCGTCTGGACTGGCCCTATTTGGGTTGGACTAGCGAGGGTCTGGATTGGCCCTATTTGGGCTGGACGTTGCACGAAAATTTTCAAAGTTTCTGATGGCACACAAGCACTTCATATTGGAAGGCACTAGCGAGGGTCTGGACTGGCCCTATTTGGGCTGTCGGATCCTGGTCGGGAGGCAGCCAGTCAGGGTTTACTGCAAGGCGTTACATAAGAACCAGGATTGTACTTTGGGTGAGGGTATTGTTTTTCATAATTTACAAAACTATGATTCCTTTTGTAGTAAGCAACAGAAATTAGTTGTTATTTCTTCATTTTTTCATAAAGCGTATGACATGGGCACCTTACCCACTACAGAGGCCACTTTTCTTTTCACTTTTAAAGTTGAGCTTCGTCGGAGAGGTTTTCCCGACGTTGTGTTTGATAAGGCCCTCTGGACAGAATGGGTACAGTGTTTTACAAATTGGGTGGTATGATTCTTAGTACTGGGTCTGGGACCGCCCCCCGTTTTTCAGGGCCAGTGGGTGCTTGTTTTCAATTTCGAGAATAGTCGGACCTAGGTAGGGTAGAGTCCAGGTTTGTCGGTACTATATAGGTATCTTTCTATTCNGGGCCAGTGGGTGCTTGTTTTCAATTTCGAGAATAGTCGGACCTAGGTAGGGTAGAGTCCAGGTTTGTCGGTACTATATAGGTATCTTTCTATTCTGTTTTCGTAGCAACCAGCGCAACCCCTGAGGATGGCCGGTACACTAGCGGACTGGCCGAAACACGTGTAGGGTTATTGCCAGTCGGGTCTTCATGCTTTGGCGTTCGCGCCTATCTATGTTTAATCAGCTTTCCTTGAATATTTTACGAGCTGACGCGCTCGGGGGAACTTCTTCTCTTTTTCTTCTCCCTTTTCTTCTTCTTCTTCTTCTTCTTCTTCTTCTTTTTCTTCCCTGTCTATGGATTGGCCTTCATGTGTTACACATGGCTGATGTTGCATGAGTTTTATCTCTACTACACGGCCGCGGCTGGCCTCGGCCGCACTACCGACATGAATTTACCCAAATTTTTCCCGAATAAAATAATGGGTAAAAATATATATATATATGGGGTTGTAGGGATTTTTGAGCCCTACAACCCCTTTTTTTTTTTTTTTGGAAACAGAGAATTTTATAGAATTATAAAAAATAAAAAACAGAAAAGGTGGAGAAGAGAAATTGAAAAATAAAAAAATAAAAAATTTTGGGGGGGAATTTTTGGTTGGCA